AGAAGACTACTACATGCCGTATCCGCATGAAGGATGTGGTCTGGCAATCAGAGATGTCGGTGCCTACTGCGGTAGTATGTCATCAAATTACAGTTTACGGGTATGTATACCATCTATGTATAAGTTCAGAACCTTGCAGATTAATAAAGTTATAGTTTTATTTGTTATTTTCTGTGTAAATCTTACAAATAACATGACAAAACATATTACATCACACTATTAACCTAATGAAGCTCTCTGATTGGCCCCTGTCAATAATGTATAGAATTAATGACTCTATCTGGGAATGGTGAAGAATCTTTCCCAAACTTCCTGTTCCCATAGCAACACTCAGATCAAAATGTATTTGATTGGTCTTTGAATTGCAATCCCTCCTAAAAAATAATCGAAAATGATGAAGAGTCTCTCCTTGTTTGAATTGAATGTTTTCATGAATATTATTTAATTGGTATTCATTTTTCTTTTCTATTCATAGCAAAGACCAGCAGAAGTGTTGGTTGAAGGTAGTAGATGGAGAATTATCCGACATGCTGAGGTGTTTGATGACATTGTGAAACCGTTTATTGGACTTCCTTCACTAGGAGTGTACAAAGATTATATAGACACCACAGAGGTGCATCTTGGGACATTACATCCCTGGTTAACATGGATGCATTGAGATTGGAAGACCTCATCGTACTCCTTGCAAAGTTTGAAAGCAGTTTTATCACTGATTGTGATAATAAGCATGTCGACTAAAGCTGACTGTTAATAAGCTTGTTGACTAAGGTCGATTATTAATAAGCTTGTTGACTAAGGCCGATTATTAATAAGCTTGTTGACTAAGGTCGACTGTTAATTAGCATGTTGACTGAAGCCGACTGTTAATAAGCATGTTGACTAAAGCTGAATGTAATTTTCGATGTAGTACTCTTTGCAAAGTATGAATGCAGATTTAATGCTGATTGTGTTAATAAGCATGTTGACTAAAGCGAACTATGTTAGTATGTTGTTACAATTTTAGATGTAGTTTTCCTTGCAAAGTATGAAAGCAATTAACACTGTGATAGTAAACATGTTGACTCAAGCCGACTGTTAATAAACATGTTGACTAAAGCCGACTTAATAATAAACATGTTGACTAAAGCCGACTGTTAATAATAAACATGTTGACTAAAGCCGACTGTTAATAATAAACATGTTGACTAAAGCCGACTGTTAATAATAAACATGTTAAATCAAGCAGACTGTTAATAAGCATGTTAACTAAAGCAGACTGTGTTAATAATCATCTTGACTAAAGCAGATTGTGTGAGTATATTGTTACAATATTTGATGTAGTACTCCTTGCAAAGTCTTTAAGTAGACTTAACACTGATTGTGTTAACAAGCATGAAAATTAACGAGAACATAGATCCCTTATCTCCAAGGAAATATGTACAAAAATCTCTTATCTCCATAGAAATAAGTACTGGATCCCTTAGCTCCATGGAAATAAGTACATGGATTTCTTATCTCCATATAAATAAGTATGTGAATCCTTTGTCTCCATGGAAATAAGTACATGAATCCTTTATCTCTATAGAAATAAGTACATGAATCCTTTGTCTCCCTGGAAATAAGTACATGAATCCTTTATCTCCATGGAAATAAGTACATGAATCCTTTATCTCCATGGAAATAAGTACATGGATCCTTTAGCTTCTCATGGAAATAAGTACATGGATCCCTTAGCTCTATGGAAATAAGTACATAGATTTGATCAGAATTAAAAAAATATAAAAAAATTTATTTCGTTAGCACTCAAAGGGTTAAGATACTGTGGAATACTTGATACTGGAATTAATTTTCGCTGAAAAGGCTTTTTGGGCGATTTGTATGGAATTTATTTTCACTGATTTTTGATGAGTTTAATGTGGAATATAGGAAAAAAAGTATATTCGCTGGATTACAAAACTTACAAAACTGTGCACTAAATTTTGGTAGGGGAAACAAACGCACATTTTACATTGAATTTGAAAATGGTACAATATAACATTTACAACCAGTAGTGAAGTTATTTTGATTTTCTCATGATTTCTATAAAATTTTGTTGAAAAAAAATGGTACAACAGGGTTTTTTGCAAAGACAGTTTGAATACAAATTTGTATAAACATTTACCAAGCAATATTAATTTTTATTTGCTTGAAAATTCATATGTAATATGAAAACAAAAATATTTCTTACGAAATTCTTCTGTAGAATTTCTGTTGATTTTAATGGAGTATTTATTGGCTTCTTTTCTATAGAATTTTTATAGAATTGAATATTCTATATATAGAAAACTTATTTTCTATGGAAATTGTATGGAAATTTACAACACTTCTGTAGATAATATCTATA